TCCGTGCGCCCGGCGCCGCCCAACACCCAGAGCGGCTCCCGCCTCCACCGCCCGGGTGGCCGCCGGGCCCCGGGACGCGCCCGGCGGACTTGGCTGTGGGGCCCGACTCAGGACTCAAGGACCTCAAGAGCGCCAGGCCACGCTTGGGACCCTGTGTGGGTGCAGGAGTGAGGGGCTGTGGAGTGGGAACCGGTCGAGGAGCCCCAACGCTTAGCCAGTGTGCGGAGGAGTGCGTGGGGCGCGGGGCAACCCGGTGCGGTGCGGGGCGGACTCCTCGCTGTGCGCCCCCGCCCCGCGCAGGCCGCGCCCCGGGAGGGCGGGCGAGCTGAGCGCACCGCGCACACCCACCTCGGAGCAATCGCAGCCCGACGGCGTCGCTGCTCCCGGAGCCACGGTGTCTACTCCCGGACGGGAGGCGGGCGCCCCTCCTTCGGCCGCCGCACACCCCCCCCTCCCGCAAGCCCTCCCGGGACCCGGGCCACCTCCGTGTCCTGCCGGCAGGGGGCGCGCTACGCCCGCCGCGCACGGCCTTGGTCCCCAAGGCGCCAGGAGACCTGCGGCAAGAGGGGCTCAGAATCTGGTTCTCCCCACCGCCCTCGGGCCTGGCGTTCGCATATGCTTTGCATTCGTTTGCATATCATTCATTTTAATGTCAACCTGAGGAAAAGCCCCCAGCCGCTATTTCTGCCTGTCCGCGTCCTACTTTCTCCTCTTCCTCTGAGCCTTCTCCCCACCCGCTTTGCCCACTTTGCCTGGAAGCGCCCTGCGATGAGTCCCATGCTTTCCTCTGGTTCGTACATTTGAGCAAACTCGCGGCACTTTCTTTTCTTCCCTTCCCACGGTCCCACATACACTTGACTTCTTTGAGATTAGGGGGATACCCAGGGTCACGGTCTGCGGAGACAGAAGGGGCCAGAACTTCAGATCAGCGGGGCCTTGATTTTCATCTCATTAGGCATAAATCTGCACGGGAAGAATGAAAATCTAGCAATATGCCCCCCCCCAAAAAAACCAACTCCCTCTCTCTCCACGCTTGCCGTACGGGCCTGTTTTTCCCCAGTTTTGGGGGTTCCTCTCAGGAACCCACTTCTGCATTCTTGAAACACAAAACAGCCTTCCTGCCCCATCCTCCTGGCCTCCTTGGCCTCCTGGATCTCCCTCTGTGGCGGATGGTATCTAACCCTAGTCTGAGGGAACCTACAATGCCCACATTTTCAGATCTCTCTTCATGGTTGTACCTGGCCACATGGTCTGCATGCATCCTGCAGAAGCGTGGAGGGCCCTGAGTCCATTTCACAGGGGAATGTGGATCTAGCCGGGTTGGATATATGGCTTGAGACCACAGACGTTATATACCAGGCATATGGACACCAGCTGTGTGGACTGCTAGCATGAAGGGACTTTTGCCATGTGCCCTAAGAAAGCAAAGCATGGTTCCCGTCAGAGATGCTATCATGCAGAGCTTCCCCGGGGGCAGCAGTTTGACAGCAGAGCCCTTAAGCCAGTGTCTGGGGGCTCAGCCTGTTGCAGGAGCTGGACCCTCCGGTTGGGCTGCAGGCTTTCCCACCCGGTTGCTGGTGCTGTGTCTGTTTTGTGGTAAGTGGCCATTGGGCTTGAGAAAAGTGCTCACAACCTCTGCTGGAGGTACAGATTTCAGTGTGACAGTGAACCTCCCCATTCCGAAAGCTCTCCTGAGAAAGCCGTGGCTGCTGGATAGGGAAGGGATGGTGGAGGCCCCGAGGGCTCCTTTGTGTGCAATGGGTCCTGGCAGCTGCAGTCCCTACATTTTCAACTAGCTAGAAAGATGTTTTCCAGAGCCCATTTGTTAGGCAGAGAAGCCAAGTCTCCTGCCCTCTTGGCCTTCCGGCTACTTCACTAAGGGCTGGTTCCTTGTGGAAATGGCCAGGTCACAGTTCTTAGTCATGTTACTTCAAGGAAGCTCTCGACCACACGAACGGTATATACACACACCTACTCAGAACAACAAATAATCGCCAAGCACTGGGGGTCTAATGGACATGCTAGAGACCGTGGGATCAGGAAACCAGGTGCTGCCTGGAGCTTTTACTGTGTTTGTTGTCTATAGAGACAAGGCTCAATCCAATTCAGAGAAGTCACTTTTCCTAGTAACAGCACTGTAGTTTTCCCAGTCAAGGCAGCTCTCCACCTTTATCTGGTCCCCGCCTCCCGTTAGGGCTCTGAGAGGTGCTGTGCCTGGCCAAGGGCGCAGTACAGAACTATCACCAGACTCACCTGCTTTGACTTGGAGCCGGGGGCTCTCTTTGGAATGGATATCTTTTCTCTAAGGAAAACAATCTCAGGGTCCAACACTTCCAGCAGCTCTTGGGTTCCTTCTGCCATCCCCCCCCCACACACACACACAAAAGGGCAGCACCTCTTTTCCTCATAGCTCCCAGCTCAGGATTTTGATGTAAACAAAATGGGCATGAAAATATTTGCTCAGGGATTCTTGACTCACACTCCCTCTGTTAGGACTGAACTCTTTTCTGGTACCCTAGAAAGCCTACAATGGAGCCCATGCCAGGGGTCAGGCACCTATCCTTTCCTACCTTGCTTTCTGTAGCCCTGGGAGATGATCTTCCTGCCAGTCTGCCAGCCTGAGGAGGATGCTGGGGACCTCAATGTCACAAGCTAGTGTTTGGCAGAGCTAAGTGTTCCACTAGGGCCAGCCCAGCCCGAGTCCCAGCTGTCACCTGCTGTTGACCTTCAATAATAACTCTGAGTAGGTTTAGACTCCTTTAAACACTTCTCTGTGATATTGAGAAACCTTCAATAGGAGTTTAGCTGTCTGCCATGAAAAGCTGACAAAATACTGATATTTAAAAATAAAAGAATATCTAGGCCAGACATGTTGCCACACACTTTTAATCCCTGCACTCAAGAAGCAGAGGCAGGTGGATCTCTGTGAGTTCAAGGCCAGCTTCAGGTATATAGTGAGTTTTAGTCTAGCCAGGGCTATACAGTGAGACTGTGTCCAATAACATAAAATAAGACAAAACCAGCATCTAGTGAGTCCTAGATAATTGTAGTGATTGATAGGTGCTGTTATCTATTTTAAAATAAACTCTCCTTAAAAACTTGGGTCTAAACAATGAGATTTTAAATATAACCAAATGTATGATCTATGGAAGAAAATTCTTAATAATTAGAATTTTGAAGTTTAAAACTTCTTCTGTGGCAAAGATATTGTTAAAAGAATAAGACATGTCACAATCTAGATAATGTATGTGTAAAACACAGATCTGGAAAAGGACTGTCATCCAAAATAAGCCAAGAGTCCCTAAGATTAACCAACAAGAAAACAAACAGCCTCCCCATTAATGTGGGTCAGATGCCCGAACAGATGTCTCTCAAGGAAGATAAAGACAAAGTACCTGAGTAAAGACCCACACTTCATGTGTAGCCAAGGATGCAAGCCCAGCAGCAGGAGCTTAGTTCCTTCACTGAGGGATGCAGAGGAGGACTTTGGAAGCAGGTTTGGCACGCTCCCCAAACTAAGCACTCCTGCCCTACAGCCCACCTGCCTGCCTCTTGGTGTTTCCTAAGTGAGTTTAAAAACTTTGGGGCCGGGTGAAAAAGATGACTCAGCGGTAGGAGTACTTACCTCCAAGCCTGACAACTGGAGTTCAATCCCCAGGACCCACACGGTGGAAGGAGAGAGCTGACTCACACAAGTTGTCCTCTGACTTTCATTTGTATTGCTCCTGCAAGCTGTCCTTTGATTACAGGCATGCGTACACACACACACACACACACACACACACACACACACACACACTGCAATTTAAAACAAGCAAACAGAATCTTCCAGGCTGGAGGTGTAGTTCAGTTGACAGAGTATTTGCCCAGCAGGCACAAAGACTTGGTTCGATCTCCAGAACCTTATAAACTAGAAATGGCGGTGTGTGCCTGGAATCTTAGCACTCAGAAGGTGGTGGAGGAGGATCAAAAGTTCAGAACAAAATAGACCTACCACCACCATCACCAAAAGCAAGCAAACAAAAGCTGTCTGTCTAGAAAGAAGCCTGCCAGAAACTGCTTACAGCAAATTTTATTTGTAATTGCTCCAAGTTAGAAGCAATGGATCCGTCACTGAATAGACATCACCGCCTGGGACACATCAGATGGTGGATGTTATTCATTCATAAGAGGATGAAAAAACCTGGAGGAATCTCCGGTACACCTTGCTAAGTGAAGAAGCCCATTGGAGAGGGCAGTTCTCTGTGACCCAACTCTAACAGAACATACTCCGAACGTAAAGAAGAAAAGGGCAGTGGAAAGATTCGAGGGCCTGGCTTCTGCTTTTTCTGGTGCAGTAGGAGCCCTCTGCCCCCTCCAACCCCTGTACCCCTGGGCCTGGTTGGGGAGCAGGTGGGGGTAAGGCAGGCTACTCTGGATGGCATTTTGATGTGGGCACTATCATCAGACGTTTATCTAAACACACAGAATACTCAACCCACAGAGGAGCTCGTTGTAAATTTGGGTTCTGGTCAGTAATAGTGTGCCTGTGTCCCCTCGGTTGTTAGAACTGTCGGGCACCAGTGACACTGCTGATGTTGTGGGGATCCAGGGGCAGCTCTGCTTTCTGATCAGTCTCCCTGCAAACCCAAATCTGCTCTAGAAAGCTTGGTCTATTTATTTTAAAAAGCCTGGGAGACACAAAATATAGATATCAATGACATTTTAAGCATCTCATGT